GTTAAGGAAGAAGATCAGTCCACACATTCAACAATATAAGAAATATTTCAACATTTTATGTAAATGAATTTAATTACAACTCTGGAACCTCATTGACCATGCTAATAGGAAATTCAACCAATTACCCTCAGGGCTCCTTCCTCCCCATGAGGTAGTGCAGAGGTCCAGATAGGTTATTGGTTACTGCCAATTAATCTGTACTCATAATTCTTCCAGTCTGCCTACACTTCTGTCCTCTGATTATCTATCTCACACTTTGGACATGGGAACCTTTGAGGAGGACAAGAAAACCAGTTCTAAGATCATATATGCCTCTTTGGGATGCTAATATGAAAAAATGAACCATTCCCAGAACCCACAGACATCTGCCCCTTCCCAATCTCTGGGAAGTTATCCTATATCAATGTGCTCAATAGCCTTCTCCTGCTAATATTTCCTCTTCAAAAGGCTTTTGTCAAAGAAGAAAGGAAACTTTTAGTTCCAACCCTTCTGATTTCCACCTATCCCAATTCCTGAGGCGAGATATCAATAAACCTATCAACCTAGTTAAAATGGGGAGAAAGAAAAACTATAGGGAGAACACATACATGATATTTTAATAAATTATCCTTTTACACATAGTTCATAAACATAGTGAACTATGTGTTTGGTATGTAAGCTATAACTTTAATACATAAGCTCCACCAGGTGGTTAATGCAGATATAATCATATTAATATTCAAACCTCAGTGCTCCAATTACCCAAATGCTAGGCTATGGGAAGTTTAGTCTTTTTTTACAGAATCCAAATCATGTGTGTGCCTATGTTAATAAGTCACAACTGATTTCACTGTCCTATAAAAGTGATAATGGAGGTACAGAAGGCTAGACCAAATCTGGAATTCCATTGTCATTTTCTTTGCTGCCACACTAGACAAACTGTTGCCAAGTAAATCTGAAAATCCACTACATCAAAGTTGACAAAAGTAGTACTACCTTTCAGATCACCAAGGCTGTGGCTTATGAGTAGGAAATCTATATTATCGCTTTTGAAAAGTACAGAATATGAGTATTCTGTGTTACATTCAATACAAGTAGGGAAGGGGTCCTGTTGCTTGAAGTATAAAATATTCTGGTGGTTTGTGATATAGCTCTTTCATTGTTTATCCCAGCAAACCAAACTGGGATTTCAAAGTTCAATTTAGGATAACCCTATGGAGAGGCACTGCCCCTGCATGGCAGAATACTTCCTCTGGTTTGAGCCCTACCACCAACACTACAACACTGTTTCAGCAAAGATTTCCCAGGCAATGAGGTGAGAAGTAGTAAAATTGCTCAAAATCAGTCATATAGTTGTAACCTATACTTTCCTGCTAACTCAAGCTCCATTGCTGGCTTAATAGACCCCATTTTCCATTTATTAGAGCAGACCTTTAACCATCAAGTTGTCTGAATCCCATTGATGAATAGAGAGCAAAGACTTTTTCTTCCTGGGCTTCATGACCTCTATATATATTAAAAGATACAAATGGATATTTGGCATCGAGGTACCACCCAAGCCCACTTACTCTATAGAAGTATCTAGTTCCCATTATAAATCTTCACACCAAAAGTCTACTGAAAAGCCACAGCACATTAAATTCTGATTTAAAGAACCTCTTCAAGTATTGTTAAATGGGGATGCCTTACAATTAAGGGTCTATTTGGTACCCAAAGTAGAAAATTTCATATAAAAATAGCCATTGCAGAAGGCTATTTTAATAAAATTTATTTTTGTCAGAGTTTGCTGGTTATTCATTTTTGTCCACCTATCCTGCCCTAGATTTATTTTCAGCCCTTCTCTGTGCCCCAAGATTCTGAACCTTCTGGACTGCATCTTGCCAACTAGTTCCCATTTGTATTCAACCAGTTGGAGGCCTCAGTAGATCAGAGGGTAAGAGAAGGAAGAAGTTTGTGTATTCCCCACTCCCTATCTAACATGTATTTCCTGACAGTGTTTTTATCCCTCCACTACTACAGTTCCTGTCCTCCACCCCTTATCTAAGGACTCCAGGTCTCACTGGGCCACTCAATACTGGCTCAAGATTGGACATCTCAATATTGCTAGTATCTAAATTCCTCAACTTCCCTGTTGGTTTCCTTAATTCTGACATAACTCTCTAATTTTCATTAACATCTCTTCTAATACCTAAGTTTGATTCTGTTTCTTTCTGGAACTCTGATTGTTACAATGGATATTCTACATGTGATACATATAACATGTAGAGTCACTCCATTTATGTAATAACTTAGAATTTCTTCAAGTTGCAATAGTAGGTAAAATTCTCCATAAACGGTACCTATCAGAAGAGGCCCAATCCGGGAGGCAATTTACCACCACTCAAATACATTACAACAGCTACAATTTAGCAGTTGAAGGATTAACTTTCATGTTACTGAGATTAGCAGGGAACATGAAAAATAAGATCTCAAGGCTTTCTACAATACAAAAAACTCACTCACGCCAATAAAATTAAACTAATCTTAGCACTAAATCATTTTGCATGAACAACCATTCCTTCTGCTGATGTATCTTTCCTATCACTGTGTATTCTAAATATATAGCAGGACTGGAGATTTACTGGACAGTTTACAAAACCAACGGGTTATGCTGAGCTCAGCAGTGTTGCGAAACCAAATAATAATAATAATAATAATGACATTATATGAGGGCAGCATTTGTTCTATACAAAAAATCTAAGTATATTTCCCCTCATTTAAATTTGCTCATGGAAACAATTTTCCACAGGTAAGTGAAAAAAGTGTTTTCAATGTGCTACTTTATCCCTATCCAGTGCACACAAGAAGAGAACCATGTTTTCACAAATAAAAAGCAACAGACCATGTCATTGCCCTCCTCTTTAACTTCTCTCTCCATGAGTATATGTGCAGTGGGGGTAGGGTCTGCTTCATACTGGGCTGTGAAATTGAATATTGATGGAATTTGCTGATGGTCAGGTTGTGGATGAAATGTTTCAGCACGGAACACAAAAGCCATGTTTCCCCTAAATTCATCAGGTTTAATTTGATTTGATCAGTTAATGATAACATAGCAATTGCAAAAGTAAATCAACTAAGAAAAGAAAACACTACAATTATTACTATAATTTTCTACCATGTTCTCCCTGGTGAGGAGTCTAGTTATAGTCTTAGTGCACCATAAGAGTTACACAATTCCTGTTTGGTATGAAATCCAATATAAAATAACTTAGTATAACATACTTTTTAAAAAATATGGATATATTATTAAATCATTTGCAAATGCTTTGGTAATTTATAGATAGAATAAACTCAGAAGTAAAAGAAAAAAAGCTGTTGAGGCATGATTAAAGCACCTAAAATTTACCCATATTCCCTACACAAGTCAAACTTTTAGTAAATTCTGACAGAGTGCTCAAGTAAGTGATTACTCTATCGCTATAGAATTTTTCCCTCACATGCTAATTATTAATAGATGCAAGATTTTAGGTAAGATATTTTCCTCATTACCTAGACTTGGCATTTACAAATATATTTTAAAGATACAGCCATCTCAAGTGGAAAATATACCTAGGGACCTTCCTATCTTTCTATTACAATGCATTGCATTTATATAAGATAAATAACTCTTGATTAAAGGGATTTGGCTACAGTAAATCCTTGACAAGGATAAAAGTGAAAGCTTAAATAAATATGTGCACTGATACATACCTCGGAGTTAAATAAAAACCATTTTGTAATCTAGATGTGTAGTTCAGGAATTTATTTTTACAGATGGAAAGGCTAATTTAAGTCACTATTTATTAAGCATTTACTATGTAATCAGATCACATATTTATAGTTCTGGACACTCTAAGGGACAAAGGATATAAAGCAATTCCACTCAAAAGCTGTCCTTACAGAGAAAAGATACAGTTTCATTAAATTATTCAATATCTGACAGTTTATGACTATGCTATGATAGTATGTTGCTATGAGATGATATTGTCTTAGTTTAGTTTTTTAAACCATGCATTCACATCCTTGATTCAGTATTAATAATCCCTTTTCCCCTCACACACACACTTCCTGGAGAACCAAAGCCCTTCCAGCATTGCTCATCTCTTCTCAAGTCTATCTTCACCTCCTCCAGTGAAAATATGCCCTCTTCACGACAGCTTCTGTTTCCTAAACTCCCAGGCTGAAGATCTTTTAGTAATATTTTGATCAAACAGGGTGAGACTATGACAATACAGAACATTTTTACCCTGAGCACTAATTTTCAAAGTGAAAAGAGAGAAAATTTTCTTTCACTTTTTTGTTCCTTTTTATTTTTTTTTAAACTTCCTGTAGCTTACAACTGCTAGCTAGGTATTACTGCAAATTTATATTTAGTACTCTTTTAACAATAGCTTGAATTTATAAATTGAATTCATTTTTAAAATTTTATTTTCTAATGAACAAAACAATGAGTAAGGCACCTTTAATAGAATAGCTTACATATATATTATTTAACTGAAATTAATTTTCACTACAGATCAAGTTGTAGATGAAACTGAGTTTCAAACAGGTTTGAAAACATTACTGTAGTTTCAGGGCTCAAAAATGGTAGGACATGGATTCAGATCCATTCTCTAAATGGAAAACTTGGCATTGTTTCTACCACTCTCTTGAGGTTTGGGCTTTTATCCTATTGGTCTGGGGGCTAATGCCTGAAAGTGAGGACCCAGACAGTCATAGCAAGGCTGGCAGGTGGCTTTCTTATGGCCTTTCTTCATGGTTATATGCTGGCCTGCACCATGAAAGAATGAAAACATAAAATATAAACATATTCAGAACAAATATAGCCTAGAGGTTTTTAGTAAATCACAAATTCAAAAGCTCTGAATATGTACAAGACTTTACAGTCTTACAGATAGGAGAAATAATAAAAAAGGCTCCAGGTCTTGTTTTTTGTTTTTTTTTTTTTTAACTAGAACAGAGGTACTGAACATCTGAAAACAATAGGAAATGATTAATCTCACCTAGCCTGGTTCCTCAAGCTTAAAATAGCCCTCAAGAATAAGTTTCAAATCCTGAAAGGGAAAGAAGAAAAAAACATTTGGTGCCAGAGATATAAAGAGTGGTCAAAGTTCATAAAGTTAGAAGGCAGGTATTCTAAAGAACTTAAGTTTTATTAGAAAATAATTCTATAAATCATTTCTATGTTGAATAGTTATATTAGACTTTTTTATACATCTGAATAATTCTAACTGAAATTAGAAAAATTGACATTTGACATGCATTATAATTTACTAAATTTTAGTTAAAACTTCCAGTATAGATTCAATAATAAGAGTGTATTCTCATACAACATATAAATTATATTCAAAGGAACATATAATTGTATTATGAAATCTACACTTTATTTTCATATTTTCCTCAAAAAGTAACAAAATTTCCAGTGTTAATTTTGGAAAAAAATGTGTATTCTTTTAATGAATAAATACTTATAAACATATCATAAACTTAGATGAGTACTATGTAAATTAAATTTTAAATTAATTTGAAAAATATAATTACATTTCCTAATATATGAGCATGAATCATCAATTTTATTTGTGAAACTCAGATGCCACCTATTGTTTAGAAAAATAAATACATCATCCTTTTTAGAGTTCTAACTACTAACAACTTGCATGTCTGGAGAAATATAAATATTATACACATAGAACAGAAGCTGGCTCTCCAACTACATAGAATTTTCAAAGACATAAAAATATAAAATAAAGCTTTCTGATATTTATATTAGGTTAGAAAAAATAAACTATCCTGAAGTGCCCATATGTTCAGAGTGTTTTGTCCTAGTAATATTTTTTATATGTATATAGTTCTTAATCAAACTTTTTATTTTTATATCATTGTCAATTCACATGTAGTTGTAAGAAATAATACAGAGAAATCCCAATTACTCTTTACCCTGGTTTCCCCCATGCAAAATGACCAGGATACTATCAATGACACAGTCAAGATATAGAACATTTTCATCATCACAAGGAATGCTTATATAATCTGTTTTAGCCATGCTCACATCCCTCCTGCTCCCCAGTACCTCCTTAACCCTTTGCAACCACTAATCAATTCTCCATTTCTATAAATTTGTCATTTCAAGAATGTTCTATAAGTATAATCTCATAATAGGTAAACTTTTGGGTCTTCCTCTTTTCATTCAGCATAATTCTCCAGAAATGCAACCAGGTTGTGGTGTATATCAATAATTTGTTATTTCTTTATTGCTGAGTAGTATTCCTACCACAGTTTGCTTAGCTATTAACCCCTTGAAGGACATGTAGGCTGTTTCTAGTTTATGGCTAATACAAGTAAAGCTTCTGTGAACATTGCTGAACAGGTTATTAGTAATAATAATAGAAATATTCCAGGGAATGAGAGACTTAGATATTACCCATAATGCAGAAGGGCCTCTGCTTAAGTTTGGATTCTTCAACAGTCCCAAAAGTTTTGAGTCCCAGAGTGGATGTGCTTCACTTGGCTATGAAAGTCCTCAGTGCATAGCCAAGTGAGTCCCTTATGAAAAAAGTTGGGTGATTCTTCTAGCAAGTGTGTATGTGTGTGTGAGTGTGACTGAAAGAGGGGTAGCATGCAGATATCTAAACTCAAAGCAGGAATTAGGAATCCATGGTGCCATCCCATCATGGTGAAGTTTACCTTAGCTTTGCCTCTTTGCCTTAGCTCCCTCTGTTTCTTCTTTGCTATTTCTTCCTTCTCCCTATTCAGGTATTTTCCCTATCTCTGAATTAATACCCCCATCCTTCCTATGTATCCTTTTCCTCTCTACCTCTCATTAGACCTCGTCTTCCTCATTACTGTCCTATCTTCTGATTTATCTCTATGAAATCATATATATCTACATAAAATCAATATACAAAACTCAGTTACATTTCTGTCTGACTTCCAGACCTAGTTTTAAAGGGTTAAATGATTTAAAGGGTTAAATGATTAGGTCAGGCCCAAATAGGATAGTCTTTCTTCTGCCATTTAAGGTAACATAATTACAGGAGGCATATTTCATTATATTCAGTTTCCACACATACTCAAAGGGAAATTATATAAGGGCATAGGTCACTTGGGGTCACCTTACAATTGTGCCTGTCACACAAAGTATGAGGACTCATATAAACTAAGGCATAATTTCTTAAAAAAGAAGGTAAGAGATTTTCAATCTGTAACCTCTCCAATTAGCCGAAAAATCTTACTAAACTGTAAGGTGTTTTACAACTTAATACTTAGTTTTACATCTTAGGCCTAAGTACTTAGGCCTTAGTACTTAGGCCTATTACATGCCTGAAATATACTGGAAACTCAGTAAGTACTTGTTGGATGGAGCACTTGACTTCTATTTGTGAACACAAACTTCCAAAGCATACATTGATTAACCTTATTCTCCAGCACCCTCCCTCAACTGCCTTAGTAGCTCAAGGCAATCAGGTGTCCTCAATCCTACTTGAAGGTCCCTGCTAGTTGAATACTCCAAAAAATTCCAAGTGAAATGATAGTTCCTAGTAAAAGCAGTACAACTCCACCCACTATGTCCCCGAATTATGAGAACATTGAGTATGGAAAAAGTTCAAAAGGAGCAAATCAGTGAATGCACATGCACATGTAGTTTAGATGTATAAATTGAACATTCAGTGTAAACATTCTTCAATAATAATAGAATAAGCCCTCTGGCTTCTAATCCTTCTCCTGGCTAACCCAACTGAATACATATAGTGAAGTATAAAAAGTATAGATGCTCCAATCATTGGAAGACATTTATAATCCATTAAGCATTTCGTTTGCTTATTCAACAAATATTAAATATTAATTTTAACAGGTGCCTATTATGTGCTAATAAATGTAGCAGGTGCTAGAGAGGATACAAATTCTTTCTAAATAACAAGTCTTCCATATGTTAGAACTAACTCATGGATCCTTATGTATTCAAATATCTTGAAACTTTAAAACTTGGATAATGAATTTTCTCCATACAGAACACTGTGAATGAAAGAATAAAATTCAGAGCTTTAAAATATATTACAAAAAATTAAAGCATATTTTTTTATTTTCTTTCAAGTCATTTTTAAATACCATTTTTTTTCTTTTCCCTTGGACACATTTTTAATACTTCTTCCATTTCAACTTTGTCTAGTTGCCTCTTTGCCTTAGCTCCCTGTTTCTTCTTTGCTATTTCTTCCTTCTCCCTATTCAGGTATTTTCCCTATCTCTGAATTAATACCCCCCATCCTTCTTACGTATCCTTTTTCTCTCTACCTCTCATTAGACCTCTTGTCTTCCTCATTACTGTCCTATCTTCTGATTTATCTCTTCTTCCCAACTTGTACTGGTTCTTTTAAACAATTGATGCATATCTTTATACAAATTACTTATTCACCCTCAGTTGTTGAATACTGCATGTGTAATAAGAGCAACATTGTTCATCTATAATAAGGTTACATTTCTCCAACATCAGCCTATAAGGACTAAGCAGAAGAAACGGTACATATTTTTATCCTATACTCTGGTCTGGTGGACACTAATGGAAAACACACATTGCCATGGGTTATCTCTGATCATTTTCAATCTTTATCTCCATAAGTCCTGCATATGCCCTCTATTTTACCAAGCTGAGCAGCATTTCGATTGTCCACTAGATGGCAAGCAGTTACACAGGGAAATAGGAAAAAGATTTTACAGAATTATAGACTTTGTTATAAAGAAAGATAGATTTTTTTTTCACAAAGGAAGCAAATAACAAATAAAATATCCTAAAAGCACCCTAAATCTTAATCTTATCTAGAACAAAATCTTTCTAAATTCCTATTACCTTATGATTATTTATGAATCAAAAGCATGGCAAAAAGAAAGAAAAAAGAAGTAAAAGGTTATATAAATCTTTCTTAAACTATATGGGATTAAATAAAAGATCCATAAGTATTCATCATTAAAATAGGTGTAAATAAGATGAAAATGTGCCATACACAGCTCCATGAGTAAAACAGTCTAGATTTTAACTTTTTTTTATTTGTTAGTACAGCCAGGGTCTTGCTCTTGCTCAGGCTGGTCTCGAACTCCTGACCTCAAGAGTGTTATAATTAATGCTAGGCAGTAATAATTGATAACAAAAAGCATAACAAAAAAGCAAAAGTGCAAACAGAAAAACTGAGTGGAGCTGCCCAAGCTAAACATGAGCAAAATGAAAAGAAATGATGTGGCAATAATAGAATCATACTGTACCCACCTCCTAAAAAGGGCAAAATGAATAAATAAAGAAATTTAGTATGTAAAAGTACAATTTGTATAAATACAACTTGAAAGAAAAATAACCCCCAAAATAGAAGCAGATACTGCTCAAGTTAATCATGCTATAGAGTGAGTTAATAACATCAAGAGTCCAACAAAATAATTGCTCAAAATCAGGACTGTAGAATACATAATGAGAAAAAAATGAAAGGTGGTCTTAAAAAAAACTAGCCAAACACTGAAAATATACCATTACAGAATTGATATAAACTGGAAATAGCAAGGCATAGAATATAAATTGCTGAAAATTGAATCAATGGCATTGAGAAAAAGGCTAGGGTATAAAAGGAAAAAGGATAAAGTAATTACAGAAAAGATGAGGAATACAAAAAACAGATAAAAGCTATCTAGAGATAACTATTGTCCCTGAAGGAGATAATCCAATAACAAAGTTTTCAAAGTATTTAAAGATTTAATGCAGAAAAATTTTATGTATTTGATGGAAGAACTGAATCTGTGGATTGAAAAAAGGAATTAATAAAAATGGCCATTCTCAAAGTGTGGAGAGCCATGAGATCAAAACTATATTTGTAATAAGAATTATTTATTCTTCTGAGACCAAGATATTACAGAATCACTAAGAAAGAACAATCATCAAGATATCTGTTGGTTAAGTTATTGATATTCAAGAATTAAAAAAAACAAACACTGCAGCCATCCAGACAGAAAAATTAAGTCACCTAGTAGAAAGGAACTGATCAGGTTTGCCTCATAATTATTCTACAGAATTC